TCCAGATATGTATGTGCATAAGAAAGCTATTTGGAAGGAGGTGTGTCCTATTTCAGTTTTCCATTTTGTCCTAGAACGTGGTTATGTTAGCAAACAGGTGAGGGAGTGGGTAGCGTGTAACTTCATGCCCAATTATTGTGAGTGCAGAACAGGGCTGATAGGTACTGGTTAAGCATTGTGGGTGAGTTTGTCAGGTCTGTTGCTTTCCAGAAGTGCTGCGTTGCCGCTGAAGCAGATTATTCATTGTTCATGTGGGAATCTTTTGATGGATACTCAGTACTGATCATAGTTAGTGCTTGCTAAAATGCATTCAGGGATAATCTGTCCCTCCATACGTGCAAAAAGATGACCATATGACATTTAAGTGTTACATAATACTTCACAAACTTATTACAAGTCTGTTTTGTTGATTATGTTATTTTTCTATGTGAGTCACTAAGAAGGTGTGGTTATTTTGTGTGGAAAAGTAATTGTAGGGGAAAAGTTTTTATTCTTCCTTTTTAAAAAGCTACCTTCAGAGTTCCACCACTTAATAAATGTTTATTTTCTTATTCCTTTTAAATGCATTAGGGACCAAAATTAAACAAACTGAAGTATTAAATTATTTACTTTATTCTTGTTAACTACATCACAGAAATCATTAGTAGTACCAACAGCTTTTGGACACAAGATTTGCCAGCTGATTTGTGCATTGTTCACAGTCTGAGGAAACATGCAGGGACTTGCTCTATTTGTTGCATATTTAACTTAATATTTGGCATCTCAGTGTTTCATAGATAAACAATAAGTACACTGGGAATTAAGTTTGCAAACTTTCAATAGCAAATAAATACGCATTTTAAATTATTGCATGAAGAATTGATTAATAAATTGCATCATTATCATAGAATAGTTTGGGTTGGAAGGGACCTCTAAAGGTCAGCTAGTCCAACTCCTCTGCTGTGGGCAGGGACATCAACTAGATCAGGTTGCTCAGAGCCCCAGCCAACCTGACCTTGAATGTCTCCAGGGATGGGGCATCCACCACCTCTCTGGGCAACCTGTGCCAGTGTCTCACCACCCTCAGCGTAAAAAATTTCTTCCTTATATCTAGTCTCAATCTACCCCCCTTTAGTTTAAAGCCATTCCCCCTTGTCCTGT